GTCAGTGTGTTTTTATGAAAAACAACCCCTTTCTGCCAGACTCCAAGTATTAACTTCTTCAAAAACTGCATTTGTAAAGACACTCCACGCAGTAAACAAGTAAAAGGCAAGACAAGTTTATTGAGCAAAAACTGACTTACAGACACAAACCACAAAACTACATGTAATAAAATTACAATTCAATAAGATACAATTCATTAAACTACAAAATTGGGAAGGGGGCCCACTTCTTCCCACCAAGACAGCACGTGCCCCCCTGAGCAATGGATTTTGGGATCCAAAAGAAGGAGAGGAAAACTTGTATGAGGCCGCCCAACCTTGAAATGGGGGTCAGGATGAAATCCAATGCCCAGGCTGGTGGGAAAAAGTTAGCCAAAAATAAGGGGGGGAAGGGGATGGTGGTGGGATAACGAGCGAAGAGAATACAATGCTTGAGCAGTGACGCATAAAAAATAATGAATGAAACTGCTGAACAAAAGAAAACAAAAGAGGTAGGGACGCTACAGTTCGTGTGCACAAGCTGTCTATGATTGGCTGGCGAAAATAAGCTGATTGGTTGACAAAGATGTGAGCTAATTGGTAGAAATAAACAGGCTGCGATTGACTGAGAGCAGAGCACCCTGAATCCTAAAATTATATCAAGCTCAAGGGTTCCATGTCCTTACAAACTCACACTTGTGCAGGCACAAGTGAACAATTGTTGTTGACATTCTATCCTTTGCCTTAGATTCACTTATTGAATTTTTTTCCCCACAGGATATTGTTGCAACAACAAAAGCATGTGAAGAAATGAAAAATAGCAAAAAGTTTGGTGAAATGTTAGAGCTTATTTTATTATTGGGTAATTACATGAATGCAGGTTCTAGAAATGCTCAGTCTATTGGCTTCCAACTTAATTATCTTACAAAGGTGAGTCAAATATTTCAGCTATATCAGCAAAAACAACGAAATTAAAACCCAGTGAATAATTAATGCAACCGGTCACTGGTAGCATAGTGGTTGTCACATCAGACACATGATCGGTAGACCCAAGTTCAAATCCTACCTTGGGCTGAACATCAAAAGGGTTTACCCCTTACCCTGGGTTAGTGTTCCACAGACCCAATTTCACTGGCCAAGATTCATTCACTAACAAATGCAACTTTGGGGATCCAGCCTGGTTGACGCCAGGATAGCATATTAAAATTTGATAGGAAGATGGCCACACAGCTCTGTCATGTAGTCCAAAACATGAATATCACTTCTGTGGCAAAATGCACTATGTGTCAGCACTAGCACTTGCAATTTGCACATAGAAAAAAAAGTCAGGAGAGACAACAGTGACATTCAATATTCGGAACTGTCGCCTGGCACAAAAACATTTATTAAAAAAAAAATGAATGCATTTAACTATTGTCCTTAGATGTTGTTTTCAATCATCTCAGTGACAGAAACACTGCAATTATTTTGTTCTCAAGTCCAGTCTCTTTTTGACTTGCTTGTATACTGTATAATACTTTATTTTCGCTTGGAATTTATTTTCGCTATTTTCGCTGAAGGGATGATTCCGTGAAAATAAAATCTAGCGAATATACTTTTTTTCCTATATTTCACATTAAACTCATGAAAAATCAGTGAAAATAAATTCCAAGCAAAACGCCCAAAAAGCCTTTTCAGTGAAAATTAATTCCAGCGAAAATAAAGTATTCCACAGTAGATAATCTCTACAACAAAGCAGTTTTCTCTTTTGGACAGTTTTCAGTTGATTGAAACTACGGTATCACTGATTATGTTTTATTTTTCCAGCTATCTAATACAAAGTCATCAGATCAGAAAACCACATTGCTTCATTTCCTAGCAAAGACTGTAGAAACCAAACACCCGCATCTTTTAGACTTTGGTGAAGAAATTAGCCATGTTGAAAGAGCCTCTAAAGGTCTGTATTCCATAATATGTATTTTTAACTCAAAATTTAGCATAATGTGATGAAGTAATGGATGATGTCATCATTACAGATTTCAAGGTGGATGCCTCTTAACTAGTCAAAATGCAGAAATTTAACAGCCCTACAAAATGTTTGGCTGAGTGATTCATTAAATAATGACTTTTTATCAATGCTAAAACAATGATTTCATCACAGAGTTAAACCATTCAGTAGTCCAAATGCATACAAGGAAGCTATGAAGGACAAGTAGCTAGGCGTGGTCAATATGACCATTTAAAATTATGTAATATGTTTCGAAAAATGAATTTTTTGTTCAGTGAACTGTAGTATTAACTGTTTATTGCTTTTTGTTTCAGTTTCAGACGAAAATCTTCAGAAGAATATTCATGAAATGGGGAAATCAGTGAAGCAGGTGGAGACAGACTTGAAATCATTCCGACAGAATCCTGAAGGGAATGATAAATTTGGTGATGTTATGAAAATATCCTTTTCTGTAAAGCAAAATAAAAGCACCTATACACTGTGTAGGGTTTGTAGAACGGCACTGTGAAAGCACTGTCAATTGTCATTGGTATTTCATTTCTCTATTTTGATATTTAATTATATTCACTATGCACAGTTAAAACTTAATGTGTCCACAGTGTCAACTCATTCAGTAAGTCTATATTAATGTTGCGTCAAATGCCACAATACCTAGACTAAGTATTGAAATAAGCAACTTCTTAAAGCGGGGGATTCTTCACCTATGTATGCTTCAGGTGGCCATAGCGTGTCATTGTTTACAAACAAGCGTTTACCCATGAGCCTTTGCGTTCTTAGTGTGTGTTGTTATCATCGCTTGGGACTCAATTCCTGCGTGTACGCATGTTGCTACCCTCACGCTTTAAAGTCACCGGAAAACAGTGATGTAATGTTGGATACCAGATTTTACTGACTCGCTGCATATAGTATAATCTAAAAGTGGAATTGCGCATCATTTTAGCACATCTGTAATCAACAGTGAATACTGAGATATGATTATGAGTTTGACTTTACAGCTGTTTCCTTAATTTTTTATAGCCAACAATCCATGCCATCAGTCAATTCTCTCTGGAGTAGGATTGTTTATGTTTTGACTCAGAACAACTCATGCTATAAGCCGTTACACTGTTCACATTTTTAGCAACCAGTATGCAAATTTCTGATAACAAATGTTGCTTAATACTTATTCTAATTAGCTTGTGATCTGCTGTGAACACATTTCCTCACAAGTTGTTTACCAGTAATTAAAACATGTGTATTTAATAACAACAGCAGTAAACAATGCTGTTGTTTTATTTTATTTTTGTTGAGTGGTGAAGTTTTATTCTGTAATTATGTTTCATTACAGTCAAATCCAGATTGAACCTAGAATCTAGAATCCTGTCTTTACTTGTCAGTCTATCACAAAAAAATCATATGGGATCAATTCCTTTTTGGTGTTCAGTTTATATTGTCCTTAACTTGTATTACGAATTCATATCAGCTGCCAAAGACCAGTACGAGGTTCTAAACAATATGTACAAAAAGATGCACCAGCTTTACTCTCAATTAGGAGAGTATTATACTTTTGATGTCAAGAAAGTGACAACGGAAGAGTTCTTTGCTGATATTAATCAATTCAGGATGGACTTCTATGTACGTGTTTTGTCTTATTGTTTGAATCCCTTCTCTATCTTGTCTGCTTTGACTTTAACCTTGCTATTATAGGGTCTATGGTTTGGAATGGTTCTGGAATAAAATTGAAATACCAAGAAATTACTTGTGATGGCGCCGCCGAAGTATTGAAAAATCAATTACTTTGTTTTTCTTCAACTTATTGTGGCTTTTTTACTGTAAAATTTGTAATAGACGTTGCAGCAAACAATGCAACAGAGGGGATCTACACATATGAGAAGTGGAGAATTGTTGGGGTCTCAATTGTTTAAAACGAACAGGTTTGGGTTCTAATACAGATTTAACGGTACTGGTACATGCTGTTTCTGTTTCATTATTTGCACAATTTATATGAAAGTTATTTGGAAGTTAGAGAGCAGCAAAGCATACAAAATAATCAAATACATTTGTACATTGTTTTTCAACTCTTGATGGTGATGCTATTACATGCAGCTTTTTTTATGCTTCAATATACCGATATGTGCACAATTTTTAGAGAGCCATCAAGCACTGAAAATAATCAATTACTTTGTTTTTAAACTCTTGGTGGCGCTATATAGTTTTTGTCAGTTTCAGTATAATTTACACATGAATGTTTTATAATTGTGTTTATTGATCAATCTGTGTCTGATCGTCTCCAGGTATAAGTAAGATACATGTAAATAGCTGATCTTTATAGTTGACAACTTGTTTTCCCCAAAAATGACATTCATGTAAAAGCAATACTAGAAGCAGCTGTTTTGTAAATTTAAAATGTCTGTGAAATGCCTACCGTCAACTTTTGTTTTTTAAGCTCTGGCTTGCCCATAATGATTTATGCCACTTTCATTTTCACAACACGCACACAAAACACGACTCTGCGTTCAGCATTTATGACACCCCCTCCCCTGTTTGTATGAACATTGCTGAGAGAATTGTTTACACAGGATTATCATACTTCTTGTATTATACACACAATGTTAAACAATTTGGTGTTAATAAGTCAATAACCACTATGGTGAAGCGATGTGCTTTTGGAGGCTGTAACAACGTGACCAAATATGTTACTTTGTTTTTATTTCCAAATGAGCCGATGAGATAAAAATTATAATAAGTTTTATTATTTTGATTACCACTATCTCACATAAAGACATTGAAGATATGCAGTATGGGAAATATTGGACATTGACTTAAATTTAGCTTATCAGATTTTACAGCATCCTTTAAACTTCTTGTTAAACAGGAATATACTGTCAAATATCAATTTGGTGAATTAAAATCAGTAGGGAGAATATAACCGGTCCGAGCTCACATTCAACTAATATTCTTTTTCTACAGAAAGCACACAAAGAAAATGTTAAGATTAGAGAAGCGGAGGAAAGAACTCAGAGGTTGAAAGAGGCCAAAGAAGAGGCTGAGAGAAAGAAGAAGGAAAGGAATGTGAAGAAAGCACTTGTGGATATGAATACAGGTTACTATACTCAAACATTTATGTGTTGGTTTTAATTATAGCTTTCTCTATACGCGGTTGATTATAGAGTTTCAGGCAGTATTAATTAAAAAGCTGTTTATTTATCTGAATGAATCATTGACAGGGGTAACACAAAAAACAACATTTTTACGACTCGTGACATAACAAATAATTTCAGGAACTATTATATAACAGAACAGAAAATGAGAATGTATATTGCATGGATTTAGATATGGCTACTGCCTGAGTACATTCTTTGCAGTATTCTTGTAGTTCACTGCGTAGCATTGTATTGTTGGTTCAAGTCTTGTATGAACTTAATTTTTTTCAGATGATGACCAGGAAGGTGTAATGGATAATTTGTTACAAGCCCTACAGACTGGTACTGCATTCAACAGACCTGGTGGTAGGAAACGTACGCCTAGAGCTGCCGGCGGTAAGTACTCTTGTAATCATCCATGTGGGTGATACTTTCACCGCTTGAATAGAATTGACTTGAAAGGGATAGCCTGCACTTCTAACATGTAAGACACAGGTTGTGATGTCGCATAAATTTGCTATGTTCCTCTGTCATAAATAAATGTAGTAAATTTAGGTTTTTTTTCAAATTTACACCCCCCCCCTCCCGTAAT